CCCCGAAGTCATAATTCTCAATGATGATGAAGTATCTGTATGCAGAATTGCTTTGGCTCACATTCATCAACATGTTAGCCCACATGCCCCCACTTTTCTTCACCTCACCACACTTATCACTGTCTAAACGTAGATTTTAAGTTTCTTGGAGAAGGGGTCTAGACCTGTGCCTTTTCCCTCTGTGTTGTTCCATAAAGTACCATGCAGAATGCTGGCCCTATGAAAATCCTACAAACACACACATCTGGCATGTAGGTGTGCAGTTACCAATACTAGGATAACTTGAAGGAGAAACTTAAGGAATAAAATACTGCACGCCTCAGAGGTCTCTCCTATCTATATGCCACCCCCTCTCCCCAGAAAATCTGTTTTAGGCTGTTATTCATTTAGTCATGTCCGACTCTTCGTGACCCCATGGACCAGAGCACGCCAGGCACTCCTGTCTTCCACTGCCTCCCACAGTTTGGTCAAACTCATGTTAGTAGCTTCAAGAACACTGTCCCACCATCTCGTCCTCTGTCATCCCCTTCTCCTTGTGCCCTCAATCTTCCCCAAGATCAGGGTCTTTTCCAGGGAGTCTTCTCTTCTCATGAGGTGGACAAAGTCTTGGAGCCTCAGCTTCAGGATCTGTCCTTCCAGTGAGCACTCAGGGCTGATTTCCTTCAGAATGGATAGGTTGGATCTTCTTGCAGTCCATGGGACTCTCCAGAGTCTCCTCCAGTTAGAAGCTTCTAATAATTATTTTCAATGATATTTGACCTTCAAGTATTTAAATGCTGTCCTTCATTCAACAGCTAAGCTCTCCACTGTTGACGCCCCATACCATCTAAGGGGCTGACCCATAGTTCACGGCAAACACTAGATTTGAACTTGGGATTTCCTGGTTCACCGTTCAGCCTCTTAGCTACTTCACTCACGGCCATTTTTAAAAACCAAAGTAATTTAACTTCCCGCTTGAGATATCACATTTCTTTCTTCCCTGACCCCATCAAGATTTATAATGCATATGTATGGCGAAATTCCAACTTGGTCTTTCTATAGTCTTGTCTTATACCATAAACAACAAGGTATTCCTCCCTGTTGGGGTATCACATTTCTGGCAACATGAGGTGGTCTCTATTGGCAGCACTTTCTGGCAGCCCATACTGGGTATCTGTTCCAGACGGTATTGTGCTCCCAAATTCTGAAGTTGAGACACTAACAGTACTGCAGAAAAGCTCCCAAGGTCAAGCTTTCGACTGCTTGCACCTTTCGACAGCAATTAAGCCAGCTCTGTGTGTTACACAGCAGAGATTAAGTTGTCCTGCTCCTTATCACAGACACTTAGGCCTTGGAAAGAGTTGGGGATTGTTTATTTTTAATAAGCAACAGCTCCAGATAGGAACTACAGATCAGAAAATGGCTGAAGTCATAAATGCTTACACACGGAGAGAAAGCTTTGTGTCAATAGAAAGGCTCTTTCTTCCCAAAAGGCTATCAATATTTTGAGTGCTCAGAAGGAGGAATCTCAGTAAAGGTGTCTGTCTGCTGGAAAATGCAGAGCAGCAGCAGTTGTCTAATAAGGCAATGCTGTTGTAATTCAGACGCGAAAAATGCAGATGCTTTGCTTATCAAGAAAGGGTGAATCCTCTGTAGCCATTTTGAAAGCAGGTGCCCTCCCCACATAATCTATACAAGAAAAAGAATAAGGTATCATGAATATTCATTCTACACAGTGGACACATCTTTGGATGGATTTATTCCACACAGTAGCTATCTTTGGATATTTTGGGGGAGGGTATGCAAAACAGGAAACCCAAGGGCTATTCCGCTTCGTCTCATAGTTGGAGAAGAGAATACCCAGTAGAAGCTCACAAGGATACAAACGTAGTGCTAGGGCCAGCCCTGCTATTAGTCAGGCTGGCTGCCTTCATCACTAGATAAGATGCAGGGAATGTGAAGCTGTTGGGAAGACAGAGTGTGTGTGCCGCACGGCTGTCTGCGCCAGCATAAGGTGCCTTCTGCTACTCAGGAATTAAGTGGAAGGCTATGTCCCATCACTAGTGAGGAAGGACTTCAGCGGCTGCTTTGTTTGCGTTCTGTATATGCAGATGAGGGAGGGTCTTGTTCTTCACTTTCAGCGCAAATGTGCTGGACTCTGGCACAGCAGGTCTCTGATCATGATCCCCAGCCAACTGCTTTTCAGAGGATTTTGTCTCTTGACTCCGCGGGTTATATATTACACTATGACCACAGCCATTGCCGCTCCATGAATTTGTCTCATCCCCCTTTTAAAGCCATTCAGCTTGGCAGCCACCACTATATCTTATGGGATGTGAATTGCCCATGTTTAACATTGCTGCTTGTGTGAAGAAGTGCTTTCTTTTTAGTTCTCTGAGACATTTCCAATGTTGGAAGATTTCCAATGAAGCAAGAATTCAAAATCCCCATTACTTTCTTACACCATTCCTAAGTTCTTACACACCTTGTATGATATCCCTTACCCTGTTTTCTAAATTGAGAAATTCACAGATCTTGCAGCTTTCACTCATAGGGAAAAGTTCATGCTCCAGCCTTGATATTCTTGGCTACCTGTTTCCCAAACCTTTTCCGCATGACACATGTCCTATTTATGAGGTTGAAGTTTTATTTTCAATCCCTTTCCTAATGATACTAACATGAAATTTGCCTTCTTCACGCTGCTGCCACTGAGTTGCCATTTTTCATATTCAAGTTAATCACCGGCAATTCCCAAATCCTTTTTCTTGTCCCTCACTAGCCAGTTCAGAACAAGAATTTAGGTATTTTTCTGTTTTGCTTCAGGTGCGTCACTTGCAAAATTTGGTTAGCCAAGTTTAGTTCAGAGACTTTACCAATGGTTGTTGTCGCGTATGTAGGTGTTTTCGAATGAACGCTCCCCATGCTCTTTCCGGGCTGGGAAAGTGGTTAATTTAACCTCTGGTTTGCTAAAATAAACTGAATTGCATGTGCAGAAATGATGCATGTTTAAAGTTGTGCACCAGCATTGAAAGTTATGGAAAGCTCTGGTTTTAGATAATAACATCTTAACTCATTAATGGAGGCTGAATGTATCTTTACCTTTGCTAGATAAAAATGTTTGTTATAATATATCTTTCAGGGCATCCTTCCTGCTATGTTGGGTTTCAAGTGAAAATCACATGCCCGAAGGAGAAGATCTGGTTATAGGATGTGGTCTTGCAAGCAAGTTGCTGTTTTTGTCAAAGCCAGTTGTGACTCTGAGATTTATCGTTCGATACAGCAGGTGATATTTCTGTGTGCTAATCACCATAGGGAACCCCAATCATCTTCCCACGCTTGATGCAGTGCTTTCAGATCAAGTTTTGCAAAACTAAGTCCATTGAAGAATTCATGCGGTGAGATTAATTTGTGAAGAGCCTCAGGGGTCACAAAGAGGCAGGGAAAGCCAACCGGCAGTTTCCACCAATATTGTCTTACCCAAGTTCTGCGAAGATAATTGCGCAAGGTTTCTTGACAACTACTTCATGAACCAAGAACAGAACAGCTGAGTCTACCTGATTTCAAAAGCTCTGCACCTTTTCTCTACCACTTCTCTGTGCTAGCTTTTTCTGCATTCAGGGAATTTTTGAGCGCCTCTCAGAAATTTTAGTTCCCTGTGCCTGCAGTCCAGTAATCGTTAAAGTTCAGAGCAGACATGATTTTGCTGAGCATGGTAGTTCTTGCCTTGTATATAGGGAATGGCATTCCCAGGAAAGAACCCACTCTTCTGCAGGCACTTCCTGTTGTGGCTCATGCAATTAGGTGTTAACCAAACAGCAGCAACAAAAAAAGCAGCTAGGAAACACCATCTGTGTTCTCTTGGTGAACAACTGCTTTTTGACGTTTGGCAGTAATGAAATTCAGTTCAGCACTCTTAAGAGTTGCGCTGATAATACACCTTGCATTCAGAGAGATAGGGAGGGAGGAAGGACTGATGTGTTCTCTGTTCATTTTTAAAAGCTTGTGGCAGGTGGAATGCCCTAAGTTTTGAAAAGGAACCTCAAAATGGAGACGATTTGAAACGAAGAGCTCCTTTCTGCCCTTGAGGAATGAGCTAGGGAACTTTCTGTTCTCTTGAGGTGGTCTTGTGCTCCCCACCCTGTCAAATCGGGCTTATTTGAGGTTGGGGCAAGAGGGAATTGCTCATTCTTTCGCTTTGGCTGTGTTAATGGCAATAATCTCATTCAGACCCTTAGAAAGCCCACTTATTATTATCCTCTGCGATGCGGTTTTTCTAGTTAGCAGAATCTAGCAGGGCAAACCGTCTCTTCAAAACGGCTATCCAATCAAGAAGGGTTATATAAAACCAGGGCCTTTATGACTGAGAATAATTAGAGCAAGCATTCATTGCCAAAAACATCCAATTTTTTGGAATTAGCATGGAGCAGGTCACAATTAAACACTCTAAGGAGCTTAAATTTCGGTATTTTGATTTTTCAGGAAATGAGATTATCAAACAGAGGGTCATATAACTTGACAGCAAAGGAAAGGGGGCGGAAGGAAGAGAAGAGAAACAGAATTCTATCATTAAGGAAATTAAATTGTTTAATCCATGTGCGCAGAGATTGCTTTTAAGTCTGGTAAGAATTCTGTTTTGGTAATTAGACAGAGCTCCTCCTTCTTCTTCCGATGGAGGTTATTAGACAGGAAGTTGCAAATCCCTCTTGGTGGGAAGAGCCTAATTACGCTTATTTGTTTTGCTGACAGGCCTTGGACTTTCCATATACCCCCCCAGCACCCCAAATATTTGTTGCATTTCATATCCAAGATGCGCTACAAGGCTAACAAACACCTCTAAGCCGAGGAAGCCCAACATTGTCATGAACTCATCCTGGCAAGAGGTGGCTTGCTTGCCTTTTCAACCTCTCGATTGAACTAAGATATGGGAGCTCTATATGGCAGCAGCACTTCCCTGTCTCTTGGCCAGGGACACAAATGCGCCAAGCCATTTACTGAGTCTCTTAGCATGGGGACTCCCTTACAGGGTGGTTGTGATGGATCTATAGTCTAAGGACAGAGAGGCAAGCTGAGTCCAGGAGTTCAGGAAGCTCATGACTTCTAGACCACCACCCCTCTCCTCCTCCAATAGTTGCTGAATGCAGTCTCCTGTAGAAATTTTTTGGAGACTGTGCCTCAGAGGGGAAAATGGCTGAAAGTTAAACAACCTGGCTGAGGCAGCCCCTGTGAAAGCAGCCGCAAGCCTCAGTGTGGCATCAGTGGTTGCAATCCAGGAGATGGGACCTGCTATATGTACAAAGGCAGGCACCTCAATGTGAAGATTCTTCTTTTTGATGAGGGGGACTATTCTTCACCCTGCAGTGATTTACCTGTGATACCTTTTTAATACTAATGGCACTCAGATGGCTGATGCTTAATATCAGAGCTGCAGAGCGAACTTTCAAGCTAGATTGCTAGGAGAAAATGACTTGGAACTGGACAAGGGATTCTGGTTTGGGGGGACTTGATTTTTTTTCCCACTGGGGGTAAGGGTGAAAACATTACTGTCTGATGGAAGGGTGGAAATGGAGCTTAGTCAAAGAGTCCAAAGGCCAGCACTGCTACACACATCATGTGAGGATGTTCTCTTTCTGAGAAATAATGTTGTACAAGTACTGTGCTGTGCATATTCATTTTTCTCAGGCTTGGTCCTTCTTAGAGTTGTTGTTATATGCAGTTATTTTTGCTGTGATTTCTTTGAAGCTGAAAGAGAAGCCCCGTTCCTTTTTTGAGTTGTCAGCCATAGTCAGTGTCCTGGGAATGATCCTTTTTCCTGCCTTCCTGTATTCTTTTCTTGCTGGGCTGCAGTGTTGTAAACGTTGGTGCAAGCTTTTGCACTCTTCATGGTTCCACATTTTGGAATCTGCAGCTCTCAAATTAGCTGGGTATCTCCTGCTGGAATTCATCT